CTCCCTGAGGACACACAAGCAGTTAACAGCTGCCTGGGCCAGGGTGAGAGGTCTTCCTTGGTGCAGTTGGCAGTAAGTTACTAAGTTGCCCATGCTCTGTATCTACACAAAGCTTATTGGTTCATTAGTTAGCCTTGAGCAGAATTACATCTGTCTGTCTGTCTGCCTTTTTCTTTCTCCCCTTCCTTTCTTTCTTTTTCTCCCTCCCTCTCTCTTTCTTTTTGGTGTTTTTCTTTTTTTGGTTTTTGAGCAGGGCTTCTCTGTGTGGCTTTGGAATCTGTCCTGGAACTCAAGACAAAGCTGGCCTTGAACACACAGAGATCCCCCTGCCTCTGCTTGGATTAAAGGCGTGCACCACACCTGCCCAGTTAAGCATAATCATTTCTTTGGAGTAGACTTTCCAAGAAAGTTGAACAACAAAAGCTAGAAGAAATGCTGGGCATGGCTGGGTTAGCTAAACTCTCAAGACTCTTGTCTCCTTTTCAACGTGCTTGGAGTGACAAAAGTGAAAACACTGGCCTGCTTGTCACTGAGTTGATGACTAATACTCCTTAATTCACCCTGAAAGCCCATTACGAGGCATCCTAGTAAATAACAGTGGACAGGAAATAATAAATGTGGTTAATATGAGGTAGATGAGGAATTAAGAAGACAACAGTAGATAACTTACAAAAATGTACTTCATTTATTTATTTATTTTTGGTTTTTCAAAACAGGGCTTCACTATGTAACAGTCCTGGTTGTTCTGGAACTCACTCTGTGGATCAGGCTGGCCTTGAACTCACAGAGATTTGCCTGCCTCTGTCTCCCAAATTCTGGGATTAAAGCATACACCAATATCATCTAGCCAAAAAAAAAAAAAAAAAAAAAAAAAATGTACTTTATTATAGCATATCTCTCTCCCTTCCTGTGTGTGTGCATGTGTGTGTTGGGTTGAACTCAGGGCCTTATACATGCTAGGCACATGTTTACCACTAAGCTCCAATTTCATATACAGTATTTCTTAACAATGTTTTACAGTCATATAATGAAACATTATTGAAAAAAATGACAACTGTCTACAACAAAATGAATCTTATAAATACACCAAGTGAAGAAAATTCTAATCTCTAGACTATATACAATATAATGCTATTTCTATAAAGTTCATAAAGCAACAAAACTGAAGAATAGATTACCTAAGAGATATACTTATATTTGAGTCTTTTTTACCCATAATTAAAGCTATTAAAAAAAGAAGCAAGGAAGGAGTAGGGAGAAGTAGGAACTCAAATAAATAGGTGAAAAAGGATTTGTTTAAAAAATTGTATATATATATACATATATATATGTATATACATATACATACACACATACATACATACATATATATTTGTGTTTTTTTGCTTTGTTTTGTTTTGTAGACAGGGTTTCTCTGTGGTTTTGGAGGCTGTCCTGGAACTAGCTCTTGTAGACCAGGCTCTTTTGGTTTTTCAAGCAAGATTTCTCTGTATTGCTTTGGAACCTGTCCTGGAACTTGCTCTATGACTATTAAAGGTATTTCTCAAGATCTCTTGGGTAGCCAGGAAATGAGAATTAGAGGTTTGTGTCTGATGCTTTTAGAGGATGTTTGCTGTGAAGTCCCCAGTTTCCACTGCAGACACAGAAGCTTACAGAGCTGATGGCTAGCAATCCAAACCCAGTTTTGCTGCTCTTGTATAGAGTTGAATGTCACAGTCATTTGAAGCTGGTCATCAGCTTCAAAGGATTCTGTGTGGTTCCCTGGTTTGCCATATCACTAACTTTGAAATTCAAGGCAGCTGTATCTTCCCTAGCTGCAAAAGAGGCTGGGCTACAAAGGAGGCTAGAAAACATCTAGTACTTCCAAATTCCTTAGGAAAGAGGAAGGCTCTGACACATTAGGCAAGGGAAACCTTACCTAGATAGGACACTGGGCAGTCAGTAAAGAAATAACTGGTGTCCACTACAGCCCATTTTCTTGGTGACTCAACATAAGTATCTCTATAGCTAATAATTTAAACTTGCTAAAAAGTAAAAGTAAAATAGCTTAATGTAACAATTAGGCATTGCTATTTTCTCAGTTTGATTTCTCTTTGCTAAGAGAATATTGATTTATTTGGCACCTTTGCAATGAGACATGTTTATTTAGTATGTGAGGCAAATATGGAGAGTACTCCATTTAGATTTTGTGGAAACCTTTGCTTTTCCCATGTACCTGCAAGGCAGGCAGCCTCCTATTTTTCCCTGCTTTCCACACGGGCATGGCAGCTGACACAGTGGTAATCTACAAGAAAACAGCATGAAAAATGAAAAACAGCATGGTAAGATGGCACCCTGTAAAGAAATGCACCCTTTTTCCTCCATTGTGAGGGCCATGCAATTGCACAACATTCTAGGAAATATGCAACACATTGCTAGGAGTTGACTCCACTAAACTGAATTCATGGTATTTCCCAATACACAGGCCGTGGTGTTTCTTTTGCCCTGGCAGACTTTGCCAATCAAAATCCATGAGCTCCACACAGTATTTGGCACTTAAAGAATCTTAATTTAGTGCTAAGAAATGCACTAGAGAGTGCCTGGCTGTGACTCTTGGCTCTACTTTGGACAAACAAGAACCTTTTGGTGTGTGAGGAACTGTAAAGAGTTGAAATGGAGACTGTCAGTATCTGACAAAGAAAAGTCCTCAGTTCAAGGTTTAATCATTGCAGACTGCCTAGATTTTGCTTCTGTAGCTGTTTTCTAGTTCTCCTCCTAACTCCTCTGCCAGCTGTTGGGTTCCCAAGTTTAAACAGTCCTTTCTATGTGCTGCTACATACACTTATATCACATTTGTCATACTACGTCATAATTACATGCACTTTTTTTAAAAGTTAGGATCTCTTGCAACCCGGGCTGGTTTTGAACATATTGTGTAGCCAAGGATGGCCTTGGATTCCTGATTTTCCTGCCTTTGCCTCCAAGTTCTGGGATTATGGTATGTGCCACCATGCCTAGTTTATCTGGTGCTGAGTATTAAAGCTACCACTCTGAATGCCAGGCAAGCGCCACACCAGCTGCTACATCTCCAAACACCCTGTGCACCTTGACTCCCTTTACCATGCTTTTCTTTTTAAAAGTCTTAGTCTGTTTTTCCCCCCAACTCATAACTCCTAGTTGCACAGGCCAATACACATAATTATTTGTTGTTTGTATGTGGAGGTCAGAGGATAACTTGCAAGAGTTAGTTCTCTCCTTCCATCATATGGGTTCTGGGGATTGAACTCAGGCCATCAGGCTTCATGGTAAGCATGTTTATCTGCTGAGTCATCTCACTGTCCCTAAAATATATACTCTTCAAGTAGTATTGTCATTTTCTGGGGTTATAATTAAAACGTAAATTCCAGATTTCACCCATAAATTTCTATTCAGTAGGGAAATGAACCATATTTTAAGGAACATGATAAATTGTTTGTTTTTTCAAGACAAGGTTTCTCTGTGTAGCCTTGGCTGTCCTGGAACTCACTCTGCAGACCTGGCTGGCCTCAAACTCACAGAGATCCTGTTTCTGCTTCCTAAGTGCTAGGATTAAAAGTGTGTGCCACCACTGCCCAGCTCCTCTACACTTAATTAGACACATTACTCAGTAAAATTAGCCAATCTTCCCAAGGGAGGTTTTTTTATTAGCAAAGATAATTTCATACACTAAATTCTTCCATCCACTGCAAGAGACATTAACATCTTCACACAAAGTGAAGAGCCACTGCTTCTCCATTCAATACACTAGCTCTGTATTACCTTCACAGCATTAACACCAGGCAGAATTTACAGGACACAGGGCAATGAAAGCACAGTATATCCCCAGGACTAAAAGGAAGAGATTGTGGTGGCTAAGGTGTAAAGAGAAAGGTAAGGCAGATAAAGTGTACTGTGCACCCTGCTGAAACAGACTGTCTGCTAACACTACCGTTTTCACTGAAACCTGACTGCTGGCTGACAAGTGGGGAAGGACACCTGCTCCTGATGGGCTTGTGGAGTACACTTTGGGCAAACAGCTGGAGCTGTCCCCTATTCTAATTAAAGTTCATAGGCATTAATGGGATCAGATGGACTCAGAACATTCTGGATAGATTTTGTTGCTTTAACTGGAATTAGCTCTTTGGATCATACAAAAGAAGCTTTAGAAATACATAAAACACTAGATTCTTTTTTAAAAAGGTAATCTTTCTCATGTGGTATCGTGCTTAGTATCAGCAAATATTAAGATTTTTTTCAGTCATTTTGGGCAAACAAATAGTGTAAAAGGAATTATTTATAAATTTGAATAAACCAAGACAGGGAGGTTGACAAGGGAACTAGTAGATCTCCCTGCATCCGAATCTCAATATTGTTCTCAATTGTCTCCTAGGCATCAGGAACATAGTAATTTTCTGTGAGTGATAAAAGTGCTTCCATGTAAAAACCAAACAGATGTAAGACAGCCGACTACTCCTGCCAGTGATGAGCCATCCAAGCAGTGCCATTCCTCACCACCACGGTTATGTTTCCATTAAATAGTAGGACACAGTGCCTACGAACTATGATGTGAAGAAATCTGATATGTTCTTCATAGCTGGCAAACCACCTAAGCTGAAGATTCCCCAGTCAAACAAAATGGAAAGCTGACTACTTGATCAAATAAATAAAAGCTACTGTTGGCATTTAAATCAAGTGCTCACGTGGGACTATACATGAGGGGGCAGGTCCAAGTTCTTCAGAACTTTCTGAATGACTCAGGGGAGGAAGAGAAACAATCCAAACTTAGGTGACTTGGTTTTCAAGTATACTTCCTGGGGACTACTAGTAGATCCTCTCAAATTAAGAGTAAAGACACGTGACTATGAAGTGCCAACTCCTTAGCACCAAAGAGAATCCAAACTCCACAGATGAGTGACGTAACTCAGAGGGTCTGCCAATCTGCTTCTGTGAATCATGATACTTTTGAAGTGGAAAAAAAAATATTCAGGATTACACCAAACATGTACTTTTTAAAAGTATGATCTCTTAAGAATCCTTAGAAGTCAATTTAATAATCCTATATAAAATAAAATCACTGGTTTATAATAAAATGTTCAGAGTTTCAGAGATAAGAAAAACTGAACACAACAGTTTATATAAGTTCAGGTCCCAGAGTCAAACTAAACGTAATTTCTGACAAAGGAATGGTGAGACATCTCTATTTTTACTATATACCCCAAATTGTTTTGTGACAATGACAACAAGCGGCAGTTCTGAACTGCCATCGCATCCCTCTGATCAACCCTGAATCAAGTCTTTCGGCAAGACACTTGACTGGACGCATCTTAGGGGAGGCTGTCACTCCTCTCCTTGCCGGGCCATCTGCAGCCAGCACTCACAAGTTCAGTTATTTGATGGGCTGGGAAGCAGGATCCACAGAATTTTCCTTTCCAACTTGAAGAGACTCACTGCTGATGGACAATAATTCTCGAAGTTCTTTATTTTCAAGCTGGGGAAAAAAGATATTTGCTGTATTTTAGCTGTCAAACTGTGCCAGAGCATATTATTTGGGGTCAGAAAGAAGAAAAATATTTTTAAAGTTTTAAGTGAGTAAAAAACATTTTTGAGACAGAGTCTCACTAAGTGGACTTTGCTGGCCTGGAATTCGATATGTATTATCAGGCTGGCCTTAAATTCACCGATATCTGCCTGTCTCTGTCTCCTGAGTACTGAGATTAGAGGCATATGTCACCACACCCAGACCTTAAATGATGAATTTTTTCTTCTTGGATTTATTATTTTATGGGTACTAGTGTTTTGCCTGCATGTGTCTGTGTACCATGTGAATACCTGGTACCCTAGAAGGTAAGAAGAGAACACTGGATGCTCTGGGTCTAGAGTTGTGAGTTAGCACCATGTGGATGCTGGGAATCAAACCCAGGGCCTCTGTTAGAGCAACAGGTGCTCTTAACTACTGAGCCATCTGTCTGGTTCACAATACAACAAGTACTTTTGACACCTGTCACTTCCTTTGATTTCTATCTAGATAGGGCACCTTACAATCCATCTCTGTTGAAAATTATCTTCTATTTTGGGATACGGTCTGATGTGGTGGAGGGTGAGTTGGAACTCCTGATCCTTCTGTTCCTATCTAAGTGCTGGGATTACAAGTGTGTGCCACCATGTTCTTTACAGGGCACACTGATAAACTGCAGTGTTTCTAGCTTTACCCAAGAGTTGAACAATATGATCAACAAACCCTCCACCATATAAACTACTTTTCTCAGTATTCTTGAATCATTATGACTTATGTGTAGGTGTGTTTTGCCTGCACCTATGTATGTGAGTGCCAGAAGAGGACATCAGAGCCCTGGAACTAGAGTTACAGATTCCTGTGAGTCACCATGTGGTGCTAGGAACTGGGTCCTCCGCAAGAGCAGTGAGTGCTTTTAACTGCTTTTGAGACAGGGTTTCTTTGTATAGCCCTACTCTCCTGCAACTCACTGTATAGACGAGGCTGGCCTTTAGATCTACCTGCCTCTGCCTCCTGAGGGCTGGGATAAAAAGTGTACAACACCACTGCCCAGCTTCTGTACTGCTACTTCTTGATCATTAAGTTTAGATATTATCTATTTGACTTCCTATTATGGCACATGAAGGATTTCAGCTTACATATGACTTGTTCTTCCTTCTCTCTCTCTCTGCTTTCTAAATATACATTAATACACACACACACACAACTTTCTATCTCCCAAAAGCTGGGGTTTAGCAGTATATTTGGAACCTGGGCTTTTCGTATGCTACACAAGCATTTTACCAACAGAGCTCTGTTCTCAGCTCCACAGTTGACACTTTCATTGATTGCTGTTGATTGCATTGTTTTATTTCCATGAAAAGGGTATAAAGGAAAAATTTTAATTTTAAATCATTAGGACAGAGAGGACATCAACACTGCTACTATTATTGCTAGCATAATACTACTAAGGCAACACAGGAGATTGATGCAGGACAATTTTGAGTTTTCAGCTAGTCCAGGCCACATTCTGAGAAACCTCCTCCTCTTTTTTTGAGACATTCTTATAAAAAAGAAAATATTAATGCACTGCACTGATATATAGTGATGACATATGCTGAGCCCATATAGAAACCCTATAAGGGCACCCAATTTACCTCCAGTTGAGCTAGTTTTTCCTGAATCTTGCAAAACTGATTATCATCCACCTGGACTGCTTTCCTCATCACTTCTCCCATTTCACAGATTCTGTCAATCTGACTTTCAATTTCCTGTGAAAGTAAGATGAAAAACAGCCTTTCATTATGAAGATCATGAAAATCATTTGTATTATGAATTTTAAGTCTATTAAAAATCTTGCAGAAATAAACTAGAGGAGTTCAATTAGTACATGCTACAGAACTTACAATTCAATTACACTATATTTTGAGACACAATAATATAAATCTGTAGTATGTTAAATAATTTCCATTTTCTAAAGAGCATTTGAAACCCAGACACCAGGTGTGGAGGCACATACCCATAATCCTCATCCTTGGGAGGCTTAGGAGAAAGGATTAGGAGTTAAGATGCCAGCCTGGACGAAGAACCAGCATCCCCCCCGCCAAAAAAAAATAACAAAACAGACAATAAGTCAAATATTTAGATATTTTAAAACATCCCAGTTCCCTAAAACTTAAAAGTCAGTAAAATGCATCCAATGGAATGGAAGATAAATGTATTATACCTTTCACTGTAGTAAATAGTAGCTTCCAAGTTAAGAACTAAAAATTAGAATACATAATACATGCAAATATATAACAAGTAAACATCAGAGAAACTGTAAACTAGTTACTATTTTTCCCAAATTAAGTAGTAAGCAATTAAAGTGGAAGAAATGCCATAAAAAAACAAGACTCCCCCTATGCCACCAGCAACATGAATAATTTAATGAAATTAGTGACAACTTGCTATGTGGAAGATATGGATAAAACTGAACTCATGCCCTCAGCTCTACAAAACGTATGGTTTAGTAGAATATATAAGTAATCAGCAAAGTATTCACGGAACATCTTCAATGCTAGCTGCCATCTTGTTTGCTATCTAGCTTGCTATGGAGCCCAGGCTGGCCTACAACTCTAAATTGTCCTATCTCAGGTTGAAAAAGAGATTTTGGTGAGGGAGGTGATATCACTCAAGAGGTTGTAAGAAGCCCCCAGTCCCCTTCTTTTATTCATATCTTCACAAAGCCTTAGCCAGATACAGTGTCTATGAAAATCACGAAAGAGGAACATGCTTTTCTGCAAACAAAACAAGCTTGAGATTTCAGTTTGGTTTACTTATAATTTATTTATCAGTGTTTCCTTACTGCAGAGTGGGACTGGTGAGCTTTCAGAACTGGTTCGGTATCCACTGCTTTTTTAGCAACCATTAACTGTAACATCTGTTTCCGGTACTTGCTCATGATGAGTTCCAAAGCATCCTGGTGTTCCTCCAAGGAAACCCACAGCTCTAACAAAAAAGCAAACATCTGGGCAATGGTGTCTGTAACAGGTCTCAAGGCAAACCTCCCAAACTTGGAAATCTGTATTCCAGCCCACAGAAGTGAGTAAAGTCTACCTGAAAAACAACTTTCTAGGCAGTGGCATTTTGTAGAAGTAACATAAAACATGTAATCACAAGACATGGATTTGAATTCAGTTTTCTCATTTACTTGCTTAAGACACAGAAGCAAAATGAGAATGAGCATATGTAAAAAAAAAAAAAAAAAAAAATTAAGCTGGGTGTTGGTGGTGCACACCTTTAGTTCCAGCACTGGGGAGGCAGAGACAGGTAGATCTCTGTGAGTTCGAGCCCAGCCTGGTGTACAGAGTGAGTTCTAGGACAGGCTCAAAAACAATACAGAGAAACCCTGTCTCGAAAAACCAAGTAAATAAAAAATAAATAAAAAACTAAGATTACATTTTGTTGATTTGTGTGCAAACACCACAGTGTACATGTGTGATCAGAGAACAACCCAGGAGTCAATTCTGGTCCTCAGGCTTGGCTCTAAGGCTGCAAGGCCATCTTGCTGGCTCATGTGAACCTGTTTCTTAACTTCGTTGTGTAAATACTTGGGTTGTGGACCTCAAAATGACGACAGTGGAATATAATGGAATGGAAGATGTAAAAAGGTCTCTGCAAGACAACGGCCATACTGTTGGCATCACCACCTCTAAGAATGTATAGTCTCAAGATAAAGTTCTGGCCTTCCACCTTGCCCAGGAACATTAAAAAACAAAATAAAACAAAACAAAAACAAAAACTCCACTTGGATATCAACTTTAGTGTTCACTCTAATTAAAGTCGGAATATTACATTTTGAGACTCTGAATTTTAATTATATAAGCCTCCATCTGGTATGTGTCCAACCCAGCCACCTAACCACTCCTTCAAAGTCATCAAAGACTTAAAAAAGAGTAACCTAATAGACTTTATTGTTACCACATGACCCTATTAAGCACTGATCCTAGATAAAGTCATGAGATGTGCAAGCTTGTGAACGGTTCAGGCACTTGTGTAAGAACGTTCTAAGTATTACCAGACACACCCAGACTAACCTCTGTTTTCCTGCTGCAAGTCTCTAATCTGGGTATTCTCTTGAGACAGCAGAATGTGAGGTTTATATTTAGACATGTCCTTCACGTCGGGTGCATCCTCTTGATACTGGACAGAGAGACGGATAAATCCGCTGCAAACACAGGCAGGTGCTGCTGAAGCGGCAGCAGTCCCACCCATCGCACAGGAAGCCCTCAAGCCCGCCCTGCCCTCCGGACCAGTATAACAGAGGCGGCGACTCCACCTGCCCGCTCCCCGCAGCGCCCACCCCCGGCTCCCGGCCCGGCCCGACCTGCTCGGGCAGCACGGCGCCCGCCTCCCGCATCGCCGCCACCCGCCGGTGCAGCGCGGCCGACTGGTCCACCAGCGACTCGGCCGCCGCATCGTGCTCGCGCAGCCGCTCCAGCAGCGTCTTGGCATCCGTCAGGATCTTCTCGATCGTACAGCTCATAGTGGCCGAGGACGCCCGCCCGGCCCGCTAGCCTCAGCGATTCGCTCAGCCCTTCCCCAGTTTGGGAATCAGCGCGACCGCGTCACTTCCGGGCAAGCTTTAAAAGCGCCTTGGCAGCCTGGCCGGCGCCTGCGCAGTGGCGGATTCGCGGTAGCCTCAGGCTTCGCCACTGCCTTTCTTGGGTGGAGTAGCAGAGGTCGGCTTGCTCCTACATCCTGGTTCTTCACGATGTCACAGCTGTTCCTGTCTCAGTTATCCGTTTCTTCTGGGTTTGATGGATGTGATTTGTTATTTAGCCATGGGTTTTAAGCAAATCGATGAAACAAACGTTCCCCAACAAGTAGTAAAATACACTAGAACCTCTCACTTCCTTCCTCTTTGTCCTTCCTCTTCCTTCCCATCCCTTCTTCCCTTCCTTGTCCCCTCCCCTGTCTCTTCTCTTCTTCCCTCCCTCCCTTCCCCTTTAAAGAGTGACTGAGGTTGTCCTCTGACCTCCACATACATAACTGCACCTGTGAATACAAACAAACAGGCACAGTCACACACCGCGCACGCACACACAAACGGGAAGCTTTCCTTAATGCAGTGTTGAGAAGCCTTTTGACTTTGGGAAGGAAACTGCCACCTACAGATTAAGATTAAGATGGCTGGCAGGGAATTCTTGGGTAAAGTATAGACAGAATTTCTAGGACAATAGAATATAATAATGTTTTGATCCTCAGGGGACCCCCACCTCAAGTGCTACACTCTCTTTTATCTCGTGTTCAGCAGTGAAATTAACAAACATGTGATGTTAGCTGTACTTTGGGATTTGGGGAGGTGCCTATTGCAAAAATTTTACATTTGTAAAAATGTGTTAAGAGATTGCCTCTGGGAAAATGAAATAATTTTCATGCAAAAGGAAAAGAACTTTGGAGAAACAATAATAGCCTGGAATAAATTTGCAACAAAGACTAGGATATATTTGTATACATTTCCTAGGGAGCATTTACCAGGATTCTTAGAAATACTTGAGGAATGGACAACTCTCTTGAAGTCATACAGAATGAGGGCTTCGAAGATGTGAGGTGGATATTAGGGGATAAAGATCCCCTTGGTTTTGGAGAACTTGGGGGACACTTGAAGGTCATACTAGTAGCCCAAATAACCTTAACTAAGGCATACAAGTTTAGTTTAAGACATTTGAAATGGTTGAAATGTGGACAGGTTTTCAGTTTGCCAACAGTGTAGGTCTGAAGGTGAGGAGTGAGGGATCTCCCATGATGCCAGCTGCAATGTATGATAATATCAAACTAGTGGACAGGGTAGTTGATTTGTTTCTTAGGTATATGGCACTATCTATATTTCTATTTTTGGTATCTGTTGGATACTTTGGCAAGCATGAGTGGGCGCACTCTTGCATTAGTACTTCTGGTCTCAAATCGAAGCTATGTTTTGGGGTGCTTTAAATGTTTTAAAATTGGATTGTGAGGCTTGTAGAGCTCTGGGACTGTATGCAAAACTACTGAAGAGTACACTTGCCAATGTGGCAGTGGACTTAGGGATGTGGCACCCACAGATATAATGACACACAAGTGAGATGGCAGTTCCCTTATCTAGTAGAACACATCCAAAAACTGTAACTCTAGAGGATAGAAGAGAAAAAACAGTATGGATTCCAGATCATCTTTTACTGGTTTTTATTGTCTTGGGATAACCATAAATATGAGTGTAGAAGGCAGGGGACTTGTGGGAATAAGTGGGGGCAACAGCCAGTGATAAACTTTTAATTTCAGTATGCAGTATAAACCCAGGGGTGGTGGTGGTGCACATGTTTAATTCCAGCATTTGGGAGGCAGAGGCCAGCCTGGTCTACAGAGCAAGTTCAAGGACAGCCAAAGCTACACAGAGAAACCTTATATCAAAACAAGACAAAACAAAAAAAAACTAACAACAACAACAACAAAGCGAACAAAACCCAATGTAAATGACAATTTCCGTGAACAGAACAAATTCAACTTTTAATAAATTGGAAAAATTGAGTTGAGTAAGTTCATGTACTTCTCTCCCTCCCTCCCTCGTGTCTTCCCTCCCTCCCTCCCTCCCTCTCTTCCTCCCTTCCTTTCTTCTTATTGGTGTTTTGAGACAGGGTTTCTCTGTGTAGCTCTAGTAACTGTAGACCAGGCCTGATTAAAGGCATATGCCACCACCTCCCGGCTACTTTTTTCTTTATAAAACCTTCTGGGGCCAGCAAGAGGGCTCAGTGGGTAAAGAAGCTTGCCTGAGTTCTATCCCCAGGATGCACTCATAAATTGTTCTCTGTGCCCAAAGCCCTATAAATAAATAAGTGATAATAAATGATAAAATAGTAAATACTAAATAATAAGTGAGATTGCTCAACAGTTAGAGATTCTTGCACACAGACTGACGACCTGAGTTTGAGTCTTGTTTCTTACAAGTTGGTAGGAGAGAAACATGCCCAGGAGTTTTCCTCTGACCTTCACCAGCCACCTGAACTAACTCTCTCTCTTTACATAAATAAATAAATAAATAAATAAATAAATAATAAATAATAAATAAATAAACTGTAAAAATTGTAATTAGTTTTGTATATGTGGGGCATACTGACAGGGTTATGACTTCAGTTTGCAATTCCTATGTGGCTCATCACTTACTAAATTCCACTCCTGGGATATTGCCAATGCTTCTGCAAGGTTTCAAGATTGTCAGTATTCTTAGTAAAGGTTAAAGAAAGTCAAGTGACTCCTACACAGTGCATTTTGGGTATCTTTTTTTGAGGGGAGCATCTTTTTTTTTTCTTTAAAAAGTAAAGGAGGGATTTTCTGATGGGTGTGACTTAGTGTGTCATCTTTATTGATAGAATAAAAGTAGGGCTGGTGAGATGTTTCAGAGGGTAAAGGTTCTTGCTGCTCAGCCTGGCAACCTGAATTCAATCCTGAGATACATGTGATTGAAGAGAATTTCTGTTGGCAAGCTGTCCTCTAACCTTAGCATGCACTTTGTGTCCCCTAACATGTGTTTGAACAGAAAATAAATGTAAAAATTAATACAATTTAAAAATAGAAAAGTATTATCAAAACTTAAATTGAGTATATCTACTCGAAGCACCAAATTAACTTTAAATTTTTGTTGTATTGTTGTTGTTTTTACTGGGTTTCTCTTTGTAGCCCTGGCTGTCCCAAACTCTCTTTGTAGACCAGGTTGGCCTTGAACTCACAGAGATCCATCTGCCTCTGCTTCCCAAGTGCTGGAATTAAAGGCATGTGCCACCATGTCTGGCTATTTATTTATTTATTTATTTAATTTTATGTGTATGAGTATTTCGTCTGCATGCATGTAAGTGTACTGTGGGCATGTGGTACCATCAGAGCCAGAAGAGGACAACAGATCCCCCTGGGACTGGAGTTACTGACAGTTGTGAGCTGCTATATGGTGCTAGGAAATGAATCCAAGTCCTCTGAAACAGCAGCAAGTGGTTTTAACTGTTCAGGCATCTTTCCATCCCCCAAAGTGTCTTTTGTCATCACATCCTCACCCTCCTCCTCCTTTATCTCATCATAGCAAAATGGGCTACTTATTAGCTGTTTTCTGTGTTCTAAACATGTGTAAACAGCTAGGGTTGCTACCAGGTTGGAGATTACTTTGCACTGTTCCCTTAAGATCATTCTTTCTAAGTTCTTCAAATATATTTTCCATCTCACTCTTTTGAAATAACTTCTCTTTTAAATATCAAGAGGAGGCCATCGTCCCCAACCCCAATATAGCCCTGGCTGCCCTGGAACTCAGGACACTTTGCTTCTTCCTCCTGAAAGCTGGGATTAAATGTGTGTGTCACCATGCCCAACAGATGTTTTCCTATGTCTTTTTTTTTTTTTTTTGAGATAGGGTTTCTCTGTGGCTTTTGAGGCTGTCCAGGAACTAGCTCTTGTAGACCAGGCTGGTCTTGAACTCACAGAGATCTGCCTGTCTCTGCCTTCCAAGTGCTAGGATCAAAGGCATGCGCCACCACTGCCCGGATAAATTTGTAGCCCAGGCTGGCCTTGAACTCAAGATCCTCCTGCCTCTGACTCCTTCAGCAAATCCTACTGGCATGCACCACCATAACCTGCTTGTATGTAATATAGTTTCAGAAATTTTTACATTTTTTTCTGCATGCTAACCTGATATATTCTTTTATTTATGACTGTGATCCTTTAAAGCTCAACTCAAATATCTCTCATTTTTTTGAACTCCAATTCAAGTATCTTTTATCAGAGAAAGTTTCTATAACCCCTCAGTGATTGTCTTAATTGTCAACTGACAAAATCTGGAAAAATCTGGAGAGTACCAAGGAGGGTGGGTTTAGATCAGGTTGGCCCAGAAGCGTGTCTGTAAGGGATTATCTTTGATTATATTAATTGGGGTGGGGAGAATTACCTACTGTGGTTAGCACCATTCCCTAGACAAGGACACCTAGCCAGAAGAGAGTACCAAATCTCATTACAAATGGAAATTGAACTAGGACCTCTGGAAGAGCAGTCAATGGTCTTCACCCTTGAGCCATCTCTCCAGCCCTAGCCAGGGACTCTTGAACTGTATAAGAGTGGAAAAAGCAAGAGCTGGAAAGATGACTCAGAGGTTAAGAGCAATGGTTGTTCTTGCAGAAGACCTAGATTCAACTTCTAGTATAAACATGGTGTTTCACAACCATTTGCAACTCCAGTTCTAGGGGACCCAATGCCTTCTTCTGGTCTCTTTCAACAAAGGTGATATATAGGCGTACAGACATGCATGCAAACAAAATACACACATACACAAAATTTAAAAATTAAAAGAGTAAATAGTGAACTAAGCACCAGCAAGTGTGTGTGTATTTATTGCTTCTCTGCTCTTAAAGAGTGGAAGTAACTAGCTGCTTCCAAGGTTCTGCGTCTTTGACTTCCAGGGTAAACTGTGGTCCACAATTGTGAGCTAATCTAAACCTTGCCCCATGTTGCTGTAGTCAGGGTATTTCATCACAGTAACAGGAAACAAAACTAATACACCCTCAGTTTTAGTTCATTCCTTTAATCCATACTGTCATAAGTTGTGCTTTTTAGAATGCTTATTTTATTTATAATTATATTTTTCCTGGGATGGTTATAGGATTAATTTTC